CATCAATTTGTCTATCAGCCACTCAAAACCTTCCAACCCCCATATTATTTTTTTTCTAAATTTAAACAGATGTAATTTAGATTTAGAGTGTCTATGTATACGCTTTTAACCCCTCGAACCTGCATACAGGATTGGGAATTGAATTGTTGGGTTGTGGAACCAATTACTGGGAATGGACGGGGCATCGATGCTGGATTGTTTCAAGCTTAGTTTAGACATGTATGGATTACCTGTCCTCTCGCCTCACCTGACGTCATTACCTGTCCTCTCGCCTCACCTGACGTCATTACCTGTCCTCTCGCCTCACCTGACGTCATTACCTGTCCTCTAGCTTCACCTGACGTCACTACCTGTCCTCTAACTTCACCTGACGTCATTACCTGTCCTCTCGCCTCACCTGACGTCATTACCTGTCCTCTCGCCTCACCTGACGTCATTACCTGTCCTCTAACTTCACCTGACGTCATTACCTGTCCTCTCGCCTCACCTGACGTCATTACCTGTCCTCTAGCTTCACCTGACGTCACTACCTGTCCTCCCGCCACACCTGACGTCATTACCTGTCCTCCCGCCTCACCTGACGTCACTACCTGTCCTCCCGCCTCACCTGACGTCATTACCTGTCCTCCCGCCTCACCTGGCGTCACTACCTATCCTCCCGCCTCACCTGACGTCACTACCTATCCTCCCGCCTCACCTGACGTCACTACCTATCCTCCCGCCTCACCTGACGTCACTACCTATCCTCCCGCCTCACCTGACGACACTACCTGTCCTCCCGCCTCACCTGACGTCACTACCTATCCTCCCGCTTCACCTGACGTCACTATCTGTCCTCCCCCCCCTGACGTCACTACCTGTCCTCCCCCCCCTCCCCGCCTTACCTGACATCACCTCCACAACTTCATTACCTGTTCTATTCAAGTTTAATGGGATCTTAATCCTTTAGAGATCGATGTTGGCTCCTGTGTACACTCACCTATATGTGCTTGTTGGGCGTGCTTCAGCTCCAGGACCCCGGCTCTCAGTCCCCGGTCGTTCATTGTAATGTCTTCCGACAGTCTTTTTTTCTTATCATTTTCACGATAAGCATTAAGTATTGTTCAGCCTTTTAAATGCTGCTTTAAGACTTTGATATGTCGTGATCATGTCACCTCAGCGTGGTGAGGCTTAGTTCTGTCAGTCTTTCCTTGTAGCTCCGTTCCTTTATCTTCTTCCAGTTTTATACGGTCTTGAAAGTGTATTTACTCTTCGGTAAATGTAAACCCTTTCATTCTTCTATAACTTCATTCCATCTTTCATTCCATCTTTTATTTCGTCATATCACTGTTCATTCTTTCATTCCATCTTTTATTTCGTCATATCACTGTTCATTCTTTCATTCCATCTTTTATTTCGTCATATCACTGTTCATTCTTTCATTCCATCTTTTATTTCGTCATATCACTGTTCTTTCTTTCATTCCATCTTTTATTTCGCCATATCACTGTTCATTCTTTCATTCCATCTTTTATTTCGTCATATCACTGTTCATTCTTTCATTCCATCTTTTATTTCGTCATATCACTGTTCATTCTTTCATTCCATCTCCTTCTGTCTCCGTATTCTGTTGGCACGAGTCCTCCTCATTCCTAGATATAATTACTTCCACCTGTGGCTTCAGTGTGTGGAAAAGTAAAGAGAAGTATATTTGAAAGTTTCTCTGATATTTGAAAGTTTCTCTGAACTAGACGAATGCCGCGCGCTCTTTTCAAACATAGAAATGCTTTTTTCGCCCCTAACAAAAAAAAATTGGACGAGATAAAATCAATTTTTTATATTGTATGAGATCAAAATAAACTCGAAATTACTTATTTGTATTCAACTACATACTATTTTTTTGTTCAAAATGAAAGTTGCTAAAAATATACATATATATATACATATTTATATACGTATATGTATCCCTAGTGGCGGGTAAATATACTAAGTTGTACGTTTGGCTTAACATAAAGTGAAGACCGCTTTAATAGACACAGTAAGCTGATTGGTCCATTGGCTAGCTTGCGTCACAAGTTTTACGGCATTCTCATTGGTTAATTAGCTTACGTCACAGGCAAAACTGCATTCAAGATGGTCACAGTTGTCTTACGTCAGTCTTAACTGCATTTGGATTGGCCACCTGACATCATTATATAGCACTGCGACCAATTAGCTCGCATCACAAACAATGCTCCAATCAGATTGGGCCATTATGGATAATGATTCTTAGCCTATTTCACATGAAACATTGCACAAATTGATGAAAATAGGGGGGGCGAGTGACACTTGAATAGGTTGAGAGACTAAACAGGGAGACTATGAGACTACAATAGATTAAGTGATACTATAAATTCACTTCACTACATAACTTTTCACTACATAACTTCACTACATAACTAAAACTCGTCCATAAATTGGACGAGTTTGGCACTAAATTAGGGCGAGTCATAAATTGAGTCGCAAAAGTTACACTCAGACCTTCAACATGGACTAAAAATTGGCAAATGTTGTTTATCACTAAGAAGTGAAGACCCCAAGTCTAGGGGAAGACGACAGGGGACTAGATATCAGCCGAACAAGAGTTACAGACTGAAATCCAGTTGTGCAAATGATGTGGGACTCGTGATCAGTACCGGTCTCAAACCAAGATTATACATTGAAGCCAGAAATTAACATTTTGCTTCAATTAGTTTTTTCACCCAATATGATTGTACAATTATAATTGAATTTTGTTTACACAATATTTTAGGAAATTGTTCGCATAAGAGAAAGTTACAATAACAAATATTATAATTATATGTTCTATGATCTACATTTGTCATTGGGTTATCATAATTTGTACAGTGATTGCTTGGGACAACAGGTGTACAGGTGTGGCTGGCAGTGAACAGATGCACAGGTGTGGCTGGTGTGAACAGATGCACAGGTGTGGCTGGGAGTGAACAGATGCACAGATGTGGCTGGTGTGAACAGATGAACAGGTGTGGCTGGGAGTGAACAGATGCACAGATGTGGCTGGTGTGAACAGATGAACAGGTGTGGCTGGGAGTGAACAGATGCACAGGTGTGGCTGGGAGTGAACAGATGCACAGGTCCGGCTGGAGTGAACAGATGCACAGGTGAGGCTGGAAGTGAACAGATACACAGGTGTGGCTGGGAGTGAACAGATGCACAGATGTGGCTGGAGTGAACAGATGCACAGGTGTGGCTGGGAGTGAACAGATGCACAAGTGTGGCTGGGAGTGAACAGATGCACAGGTGTGGCTGGGAGTGAACAGATGCACCGGTGTGGCTGGGAGTGAACAGATGCACAGGTGTAGCTGGGAGTGAACAGATGCACAGGTGTGGCTGGGAGTGAACAGATGCACAGGTGTGGCTGGAGTGAACAGCTTCACAACAAAATCATCAGCAACAAAATCTTACAACATATCATCAGAGAGCCGAGACTTATACTGACATAACTTGCAGTATAATTTTATAATCAGTGTGAATAGTGTCGAGTTGAAATCACCACGAAATACACATTTACACCTCAGCATACTACACACCCTCACCATACTACACACCCTCAGCATACTACACACCCTCAGCATACTACACACCCTCAGCATACTACACACCCTCAGCATACTACACACCCTCAGCATACTACACACCCTCAGCATACTTCACACCCTCAGCATACTACACACCCTCAGTATACTACACACCCTCAGCATACTACACACCCTCAGTATACTACACACCCTCAGTATACTACACACAGCATACTACACACCCTCAGTATACTACACACCCTCAGTATACTACACACCCTCAGCATACTTCACACCCTCAGCATACTACACACCCTCAGCATACTACACACCTTCAGCATACTTCACACCCTCAGCATACTACACACCATCAGTATACTACACACCCTCAGCATACTACACACCTTCAGCATACTACACACCCTCAGCATACTACACGCCCTCAGCATACTACACACCCTCAGCATACTACACACCCTCAGCATACTACACACCCTCAGCATACTACACACCTTCAGCATACTACACACCCTCAACATACTACACACCCTCAGTATACTACACACCCTCAGTATACTACACACCCTCAGTATACTACACACCCTCAGTATACTACACACCTTCAGCATACTACACACCCTCAGCATACTACACACCCTCAGCATACTACACACCCTCAGTATACTACACACCCTCAGTATACTACACACCCTCAGTATACTACACACCCTCAGCATACTACACACCTTCAGCATACTACACACCCTCAACATACTACACACCCTCAGCATACTACACACCCTCAGCATACTACACACCCTCAGTATACTACACACCCTCAGCATACTACACACCTTCAGCATACTACACACCCTCAACATACTACACACCCTCAACATACTACACACCCTCAGCATACTACACACCCTCAGTATACTACACACCCTCAGCATAATACACACCCTCAGCATACTACACACCCTCAGCATACTACACACCCTCAACATACTACACACCCTCAGCATACTACACACCCTCAGCATACTACACACCCTCAGCATACTACACACCCTCAGCATACTACACACCCTCAGTATACTACACACCCTCAGCATACTACACACCCTCAGCATACTACACCAAACTCACTCTGAACACAGCTCTCGCAACACTGAGCTTCTTCAGGAGGATATTAAAAGCTGTCCATTACACATGTATTTGTGATGGTATTGCTTTCATAATTAAACATGTGTCACTGAGAATATCCCTGCATTCTCTGCCTGGGATATCCCTGCATTCTCTGCCTGGGATATCCCTGCATTCGCTGCCTGGGATATCCCTGCATTCGCTGCCTGGGATATCCCTGCATTCGCTGCCTGGGATATCCCTGCATTCTCTGCTGGGGATATCCCTGCATTCTCTGCCTGGGGATATCCCTGCATTCTATACTGGGGATATCGCTGCATTCTCTGCTGGGGATATCCCTGCATTCTCTGCCTGTGATATCCCTGCATTCTCTGTCTGGGATATCCCTGCATTCTCTGCCTGTGATATCCCTGCATTCTCTGCCTGGGATATCCCTGCATTCCCTGCCTGTGATATCCCTGCATTCTCTGCCTGGGATATACCTGCATTCTCTGCCTGGGATATACCTGCAATCTCTGCCTGGAATATCCCTGCATTCTCTGCCTGGGATATCCCTGGATTCTCTGCCTGGGATATCCCTGCATTCTCTGCCTGGGATATCCCTGCATTCTCTGCCTGGGATATCCCTGCATTCTGTGCCTGGGATATCCCTGCATTTTCTGCCTGGGGATATCCCTGCATTCTCTGCCTGGGATATCCCTGCATTCTCTGCCTGGGATATCCCTGCATTCTCTGCCTGGGATATCCCTGCATTCTCTGCCTGGGATATCCCTGCATTCTCTGCCTGGGATATCCCGGCATTCTCTGCCTGGGGATATCCCTGCATTCTCTGCCTGGGATATCCCTGCATTCTCTGCCTGGGGATATCCCTGCATTCTCTGCCTGGGATATCCCTGCATTCTCTGCCTGGGATATCCCTGCATTCTCTGCCTGGGATATCCCTGCATTCTCTGCCTGGGATATACCTGCATTCTCTGCCTGGGAATATCCCTGCATTCTCTGCCTTGGAATATCCCTGCATTCTCTGCTGGTGATATCACTGCATTCTCTGCCTGGGATATCCCTGCATTCTCTGCTGGTGATATCACTGCATTCTCTGCCTGGGATATCCCTGCATTCTCTGCCTGGGAATATCCCTGCATTCTCTGCCTTGGAATATCCCTGCATTCTCTGCTGGTGATATCCCTGCATTCTCTGCCTGGGATATCCCTGCATTCTCTGCCTGGGATATCCCTGCATTCTCTGCCTGGGATATCACTGCATTCTCTGCCTGGGGATATCCCTGCATTCTATGCTGGGGATATCGCTGCATTCTCTGCTGGGGATATCCCTGCATTCTCTGCCTGGCATATCCCTGCATTCTCTGCCTGGCATATCCCTGCATTCTCTGCCTGGCATATCCCTGCATTCTCTGCCTGGCATATCCCTGCATTCTCTACCTGGGTTATCCCTGCATTCTCTGCCTGGGATACCAATGCATTCTCTGCTTGAGATATCCCTGCATTCTCTGCCTGGGATATCCCTGCATTCTCTGCCTGGGATATCCCTGCATTCTCTGCCTGGGATATCCCTGCATTCTTTGCTTACTGTGAGAGATCACTTGGGTTATCTTGTCCCTGTGAGAAACCACTTGGACTATGCAGAACGTTTTGGCAATACTACAGAAAGTCTGTAAATTCGCCTCAACGTATATTGAGATTGATTAAATTATTCCCGGGCATTAGGAACCATGTCCCCTCTTTCTTAGTGAAGAGGGGACATGACCTAGATATAAAAAATACATAGTATAGAGTGTAACCAGATTCATATAAATAGGACTCTAAAAATGTCAACCAAAGTTAGAACGTGAAATAATGATTAAAATTAGACATTGAGATTAAAAAAAATGGTTCAAAAATAGGGCTGTAAATAAATAATCAACTTAATAGAAGCAAACTGACTTCATTGTTCCAAATTTAGGTGAGATAATTGTGGTGTAAAGAGGAGTCACACGGCGTGTGCCAACAGCAGCGGCCTCGTATAGGCCAAATTTATTTATTATCTTGTATTTTTAGGATACACGACGTGAAATGCTGTACTCTCATTGGTCCTTTTAGGTCACACTTTCAACAATACGGACCTCTAATTGGTCCGCTAGATCCCAATTATCTTTCATCATACACAAAAATATGCGCTCATAATTGGTCCTTTGCTCGAATTGAAGGAAATTATGCATTCTGACTGGTCTATTGGCTAGCGTTATTGCCAATAAGTGAACGCAACTGGAGCGGAAACATGAATTTCGAACTATGCAGCCGTCTGATTACCTCGGTGAATTGTTCCAAGAAAAACTCTAGCTGGTGATTGGCCCATCACACTGGGTGTTACGATGTGTGGCACTCCAATTGGTTCAGTTGCCAACATTGCTGGGTAATGATGCACTGTGATTGGTCCATTGCTAGTTATGTTCTACGATAGTGCTTCTCTCTCTCGCTGGTCGATAACTATACATGCCATGCGTTGTGGTTAGTGACTTGTATGTCAACATTGGTGTGTGTGTATAGAAGACAATATACACAGCACACGGGGGGCGTTTTCAAAGCTCCTCCTCGAGTGCCTTATATTCACTTCTCTGAGGCTAAGGTTCTCAACAAATCAGAGGTAGCACTTCTAAATTATATATATATTGAGGCATACTTCGGTGAAGATAATAAAATCACTATCTATCTCCCTCCCTCCTTCTCTCCCTCTCTTTCTCTCCCTCCCTCTCCCTACTAATCCTTAACCATCCCAATAAGAACCTAATGGATCTCAAACCATTATTGCATTAGAAGGTATTGGGTTGTTGGTATTGTATCTTGACCTAGTCAGGGTGGTGTGTGGTCGGGTCTACCTGTAGTGTGAGGTCAGGTCTACCTGTGGTGTGGGGTCGGGTCGACCTGTGGTGTGTGGTCGGGTCGACCTGTGGTGTGTGGTCGGGTCTACCTGTGGTGTGTGGTCGGGTCTACCTGTGGTGTGTGGTCGGGTCTACCTGTGGTGTGTGGTCGGGTCGACCTGTGGTGTGTGGTCGGGTCTACCTGTGGTGTGTGGTCGGGTCTACCTGTGGTGTGCGGTCGGGTCTACCTGTGGTGTGTGGTCGGGTCTACCTGTGGTGTGTGGTCGGGTCTACCTGTAGTGTGGGGTCGGGTCTACCTGTGGTGTGTGGTCGGGTCTACCTGTGGTGTGGGGTCGGGTCTACCTGTGGTGTGGGGTCGGGTCTACCTGTGGTGTGTGGTCGGGTCTACCTGTGGTGTGTGGTCGGGTCTACCTGTGGTGTGTGGTCGGGTCTACCTGTGGTGTGGGGTCGGGTCTACCTGTGGTGTGGGGTCGGGTCTACCTGTGGTGTGTGGTCGGGTCTACCTGTAGCGTGGGGTCGGGTCTACCTGTGGTGTGTGGTCGGGTCTACCTGTGGTGTGTGGTCGGGTCTACCTGTAGTGTGGGGTCGGGTCTACCTGTGGTGTGGGGTCGGGTCTACCTGTGGTGTGGGGTCGGGTCTACCTGTGGAGTGTGGTCGGGTCTACCTGTGGTGTGTGGTCGGGTCTACCTGTGGTGTGTGGTCGGGTCTACCTGTGGTGTGTGGTCGGGTCTACCTGTAGTGTGTGGTCGGGTCTACCTGTGGTGTGTGGTCGGGTCTACCTGTGGTGTGGGGTCGGGTCTACCTGTGGTGTGTGGTCGGGTCTACCTGTAGTGTGGGGTCGGGTCTACCTGTGGTGTGTGGTCGGGTCTCCCTGTGGTGTGTGGTCGGGTCTACCTGTGGTGTGGGGTCGGGTCTACCTGTGGTGTGCGGTCGTGTCTACCTGTGGTGTGGGGTCGGGTCTACCTGTGGTGTGTGGTCGGGTCTACTTGTGGGGTGGGGTCGGGTCTACCTGTGGTGTGTGGTCGGGTCTACCTGTGGTGTGCGGTCGGGTCTACCTGTGGTGTGGGGTCGGGTCTACTTGTGGTGTGGGGTCGGGTCTACCTGTGGTGTGTGGTCGGGTCTACCTGTGGTGTGTGGTCGGGTCTACTTGTGGTGTGTGGTCGGGTCTACTTGTGGTGTGGGGTCGGGTCTACCTGTGGTGTGTGGTCGGGTCTACCTGTAGTGTGGGTGGTCGGGTCTACCTGTGGTGTGGGGTCGGGTCTACCTGTAGTGTGTGGTCGGGTCTCCGGTGTCTCTACCTGTGGTGTGTGGTCGGGTCTACCTGTAGTGTGGGGTCGGGTCTACCTGTGGTGTGGGGTCGGGTCGTACCTGTAGTGTGGGGTCGGGTCTACCTGTGTGTGGGGTCGGG